TAATGCCCGCTGACACAAATTGTCAGTGGAAGAAAAGATGAATCTTGGGGAGGGTGAATTAAGGGTTAACAGAGAAAGGGAGAGATTCAGCGAGCAAAGGACTGACAGTTGCATCTAACCATAAAACAATGGTTGTTCTTCGGTGTTATTGTTGTACATGACACATAACCAAAGGAGTAAACACACACATGTGTGTGTGTGTCTGTATGCATCCGAGAAACACCATCAAGACAATGCAGAATAACACAACTCTTAACATACGTATATACCATATCCAATTAGACAACTAGACATTTTGGGGTTTCCTTCTACATGTATGTGTGGTCCGGAGAGATGTGAGGATTTTGGATAAAAAGGATATCTATTTCGTTGACTTTTATGTGTTTCTTCTTTGATATTCTGGGAAAATTTTTACTCATCACTTAGGGTTATGGTTTTTCGCTTTTATACATATGTATATGTATTTCTGCATGTGTGTGCAATTAGGTTTGGCTTATCCTTTGTCTTAAGACCCAAAGTACACAAACACATTTATATCTCAGTTACATCATTTGTGAAATAAAAATGATTTTCTTCTATACAACGAAGTAGAAAAATGTTCATGCTTAATCAGGGTTTATATTGTATGAGATTTGTTGAAAATCGCTTGCACACATACACTCACCTAAATACAAACTCTAATAAGATTTTGTAATTTTTACAAAATATCAAGGTGTCTGATTACCTGCGGTTCTACAGCAGATGATACGTGTTTAACAAACATAGAAGTGTGTTAAAAACTAGCACACACACATAAACAGATACAAAACCAAAAAATGGAACAACAGTAAACCCTGAATTCAATTCAAGAATTTTTTCAAGAAGGATTAGAAGGGGATTTTTGTTGTTATATCCCATAAATACGGATGATGTGCACTGTGGTCTGAAAATAATAAAAACAAGTGAAAAAGCATTAAGTTCGGCCGGGGCGAACTTTTGATACCCTCCACCATAGATATACTGACAGGTACTAGAAATGAAAATATATGGAACATACCGAAAAGTGGACCTATACCGACATTTCTAAAAACGTATTATGTAAACCATGATACAAATTTTAGAAAATGTTAATTGATAATTCAAATTCGAAGATGGGGAAACCTCCACACAGGGACTAGGTCTAAATACGGCTATAGTTCATTATCGAACCATACGTTCTAATTTTTTATCTCGCTATCCTCCGCAGGTGAAATGATTACAATAGAGTCTTCGAACCAAACTCAAAACGCGGAACAAATCAAATAACTATTTTAATATAAAAAAGGGGCTTATATGGGGCCTACCCTAAAAAGGGGGGCGAATATTAAAAAATAAACGCGCTGAAGGACCCATAAATACCGAAAATTGGGGGTACCCTTATATGGGGGCTATCCGAAAAAATGGACCTATATTCATAATTTTTTTTTTTTTGAGAGATTTTGCAACTTTTAATAACTCAAAATACTAAATTACAGCTAATTCGGCGGAAAAATACGACAAAAACCCCTAAAATACTGAAAATTGGGAGGTACCGTTATATGAGGGCTACCAGAAAAAGTGGACCTATAATTATAATTTTTTGTGGAGACATTTAGTACCCAATAAGAACCCAATGTAGCAAATTTCAGCGAATTCGGCTGAAAAACGCGCTCAAGAACCCCAAAATACCGAAAATTGGGGGTACCTTTATATGGGGGCTACCCGAAAAAATTGACCTATATTCATAATTTTTTTGTGGAGAGATTTGATACCTATTAAGAACTCAAAACACTAAATTACAGCCAAGTCGGTGAAAAAATACGACCAATACCCCAAAATACTGGAAATTAGGAGGTACCGTTATATGGGGGCTACCAGAAAAAGTGGACCTATAATTATAATTTTTTGTGGAGACATTTAGTACACAATAAGAACCCAATGTACCAAATTTCAGCGAATTCGGCTGAAAACGCGCTCAAGAACCCCAAAGTACCGAAATTTGGCGGGTACCCTTATATGGGAACTATGCCTAAACGTGGACCGATATATCCCATCTTCGAACTTGACCTGCCTGCAGATAAAATACAACCCTATGCAACATTTCAGCACCCTATCTCAATTCCTTCAGAAGATAGCGTGATTACAACAGACGGACGGACGGACATGGATAGATCGTCTTAGAATTTTACCCGGAAATGAATATTTCCATGAGTTACAAACGGAATGACAAAATTAATATAGCCTCCATACTATGGTGGAGGGTATAAAAATATAATCTTAGGCATATTGATTGGGTGTTCACAGAATTATAGCACTGATCCACATTTTGTAGCACTGATCCACATTTCTTCCGGGGGAAAAATGTTGCCAACAATAGCCGATAGATTCACATTGTTGAATAATTGCGGATAAATTATATTCTCAGCAAAAAGGGAATATAAACTTTGATAATATCAAACTTGTGCTTCATTGAAAAATCTAGCAGTAGTGATGACGTAGGTAGAATATGGCGATTCGATCAAGATGGTTTCACATTATATTTTAGTTCAGAAAATTGCCACTAGATGACACTATGTGTTTGCAGCGTGGACACGCACCGTGTGATTGCTTTACAGTTGGCAATTCTGTGATCGCTAGCCAAGGCACAAACTATTAGGCTGACTTCGATAATATGATAAAAAGGTGAAGATGTCTTTGGTTTGGTTTGTGGGGTATTTCCCTTATTGCCAACAATAGCCGATAGATTCACTCGTTTGAATAATTTTGGATAAATTATATTCCCAGCAAAAAGGGAATATAAACTGTGATAATATCAAACTTGTGCTTCATTGAAATATCGGTTTGGACTAGATTCTAAATTTAAAAATCTAGTAGTAGTGATGACGTAGGTAGAATATGGCGATTCGATCAAGATGGTTCCACATTATATCTTAGTTTAGAAAATTGCCACTAGATGACAATATGTGTTTGCAGCGTGGACACGCACCGTGTGATTGCTTTACAGCTGGCAATTCTGTGATCGCTAGCCAATGCACAAACTATTAGGCTGACTTCGATAATATGATAAAAAGGTGAAAATGTCTTTGGTTTGGTTCTTGAGGTATTTTCCTTATTATGGTGAGAAATAATAAATGTATATATCACATGTGATCATGGGTGTTTTGACACCATGTAATTTAATCCGGTATATCTATATCTGTGCAACACTTATTACTCCAGCACCCACTGTTCTTCGTATTGAAAACACATCCTTCTCTTGGCATCAGCTGCATTTATAAATGCATTTTCTTTGGCATTGGCTTTTATAAATACCAACGACTATTATACCGAAACAAATGTATATTCTATGTGCGTGAGTGTGCTTTAGATTCTATATCGATGAAATATATCTGGGAGCTATTATATTTGTATGAATGTCTATGTGTTCGAATGTTTTCTCTTTCAATTAAAGCTATTCAACTTTTGTAGCAACTATAAGGCCACAAAAACAAGAAAAAGAAAAGCAATCTACTTTCCTGTGATGCATCTGGAAGATAAGTAATGACTGCTGTCATGGTATTTGTGGTTGGGATTATTTTACTTTGGCATTTAGTTTTGAGATTTAGAAAATTAATTAAGGTTGTCTTGGTATTTATTTCATTGCACGTATTACGTTTTATGCCCTTCACCACTCTGTGGTACAGGGTATTATGTCTTTCTGCATATGTTTGTAACAAGCAAAAGGAAACGAGATAGACACATGGTTCCTTTTGAGAATATGTATAGAATCACTTTTTAAAGTCGATTTATGCATGTCCGTCCGCCTATCTGTCTGTCCATGTTAAATTGTGAACAAAGTACAGGTCGCATTTATGATCCGAATTGAATGAAATTTGGCACAGCTGATCTATTTGGCCCAAGGAAGAACCCTATTGAAATTGGGAAAAATCGGTTCAGATTTAGATATAGCTCCCACATATAAAACTATTTTTTTAAAAAATGCTCACCTATTGTATTTTTTTAACAAAATGTTCCTTAAAAATCCACGCCATCTACTAGTCCTTAAAAAATCAACGACTTCTGTTAGTTCTTGATAAAATATTCTTTAAAAAAAACCAGACCATCTCCTTCTGTGGTTTTTGAAAAAAACCAGGTCTTCTGTGGTCAAAAAACTGGTATTTGAAAAAATCCAGACCTTCTGTAAGTATTTGCAAAAAATTCATGACTTCTGTAAATTTTTGAAAAAACATTCAATAAAAATCCAAGCCTTCTGTAAGTCCTGGAAAAAATATTCTTTAAAATATTCACGTCATAGGTTAGTACCTAAAAAAATATTCTTAAAAAATATTTTTTTAATAATATTTTTTCTTGCTTAAAATAATATTTGTCCTGTTAGTCCTTGATAAAATATTCTTTAAAAACTCAATCCTCCGTAGGTCATTAAAAACAAAAATTCCAGGTGTTTTTTCAATACTTTTATATCACTCGTGGTAGTAAATATCCTTATAAAATCCATCGTAAATCCTTGCCCATGCTTTGTTTCCTTTCCTAATGCTTCAAAATCGTCACAAAAGAAACGGTGAAATGGTCAGCCAACCAAACCAGAAACCATAAAACAGTTCAAATTGTCCTTCTCAAACAAAGCCGATGCCGGACCATCGAACCATTGTTTCATGTCGATCGATTTGGACAAGTGTCCAACTAAATGTGTACTGTTTTGCGTACACAAAACAACACCAACAAAAAACTGGGAACTGTTTGGGGAGATTTGTGACGAGTACGTTGCTTTGTATGCATGTATGTGTGTGAGTGTGTACCATTGTTGCATAGTTAAAGTCTCTTGATGTATCTATTTGTTGCAATGTCCTTGTTGTAGCTGTCTTTGTTGTTGTTGTTTTTGTCACTGTCATTGTTATCCCTTTGTGTATATGTTGTCGTCTCTGTTGTTGTTGTCAGTCCACCTGTAATGCCACTTGTTCTTCGTCATCGTTGCCTAGGCAGGCTGGCTATTTGCCCATACTTACCACGTACAACCAACCGTACCGGTTGACTGGTTAAAGCATCCTGTGTTGTAAAATCACTTGCCGTCACCTGACATTCCCAAAGGCCATCATCAAAATCCAATGTGGCCGAGCGTATCCACAACGAACAGTCGCCACCAATCTGCATTGGTGGCGGATGTAAATCCAAATGCAGGCCACCGCTGGGCGTTGAGGATGGCCGGGCGGCCCATTCGTATTTCTTGGCATAAATGCCAACAGGCTGTAACGAAACAAAGAGGACAGGGGAATTAAGCCTTAAAAATCACAGTAAAAGAAACATCAAATGGATAGCGTCGTAAAATTGGGAATTCTATTCCACAAAAAACCAAAAAAAGTTCTGAAACTAGTTCACATTCAATTGTTGCCCAAGGAATCCACTTTTTTTTCTTTTTAGGTTTGGTTGTCTCTTTTTTTTGGTCATTGGGCCAGACTACAATCGTTTGGCAGCCTAGCTGCTTGGTTGGTTATTGGTCACATTCTTACGAATGTGACCATGGAGTAATTAGTACACCAAAGGATGTATACATTTCTTTGAGGGTTTCTCTCAATCTGAATGTGGTGTATGGATTTGGTCTAAAAATCAAAAGGCTTTGGGACAAATGTTTGCTGTTGCCTTTGTTATGTAGGGTCATGTGTTTTGATTATAACGTATTTGCTCTTTGGAGTTGATTATGACATCTGCTTTTATAGTATTGGGGTTTTTTTGATTTGCAAAGGAGTCTTAAAAATTGAAAAATAAAAATTTGTCGTAGAAAAATATTCTTTAAAAAATCCGGTCTTGGAAAAAATATTCTTAAAAAAATCCAGACCTTATAGGCTGATTAAAAAATATTCTTAGAAAATATATAATTTAAAAAAACCCACACAACATATGGTACCTAGAAAATATATTATTTAAAAATCCACGCCATATATGCTACTTAAGAATATATTATTTAACCAGTAAGGAAAGTAGTAAAGTCGGACTGGGCCGACTATACGATACCCTTCACCACTTTGGGTATATTCTACATATGTATCCGAAAAGACGTCGCCTTCTTTAAGGTATTTTGACATGAAATTGAACGAAGTTAAATATGTGATTTTTATGTCTTTCTGGAACCTATGCTAAATTTCATTTCATTTGGGCAAGTTTAAAGTCATTTGCGCACAGTGGGACAGATTTGTGTAAATCGATTTAAAGCAAACTTGACACACGCTATCAGTATTCGGCTGCACTGTTTAAAATTTAATCTCAATCAGACACCTATTGATTAGTTGGTGTACAATTAACATAAATAAGTCGAAATTATACATATGGAAGCTACGATATATCTATATCTGAACCGATTTGAAGCAAACTTGCCAGAGATTAATTTATATTAATTTCAGTACGTTGTCTCAATCGGCCTAGCTGTAAATCATTAGTGTACCAATTACCTAAAATCAGACGAAACTATGTATGGGAGCTATATCTAAATCTGAACCGATTTTCACGAAACTTAGCACACGTCATTCTAGACTAAAAAAATATTCTTAAAAAAATTCACGCCTTATAGGATTTTTTGAAAATATGTTCTTTAAAAATATTTACCCATCAGGGTTTTTTGCAAAAAAATATTTTTCAAAAATGCACGCCTCATATGGCCCGAAAAAATATTCTTTAAAAAATCCACACCTCATATATGGTCTTTCAATCCAAGTCTTATAAGGTCTTTTAAAAACTCCACGCCTCATAGCGTCCTTGAAAAAAATATTCTCTACAAAATCCAAGCCTCATGTGTCCTTGAAAAAAATATTCTTTAAGAAATCCACGCCTCATATAAGGTCTTTTAATCCAAGTATTATAAAGTCTTTTAAAAAATCCACGCCTCACATAAGGTCCTTTAATCGAAGTCTTATAAGGTCTTTTAAAAAATCCACCCCTCATAGTGTCCTTAAAAAAATATTCTTTCAAATATCCACGCCTCATAGTGTCCTTGAAAAAAATATTCTTTCAAATATCCACGCCTCATAGTGTCCTTGAAAAAAAATATTCTTAAAAAATCCACGCCTCATAGTGTCCTTGAAAAAAATATTCTTTCAAATATCCACGCCTCATAGTGTCCTTGAAAAAAATATTCTTAAAAAATCCACGCCTCATAGTGTCCTTGAAAAAAATATTCTTTCAAATATCCACGCCTCATAGTGTCCTTGAAAAAAATATTCTTAAAAAATCCACGCCTCATAGTGTCCTTGAAAAAAATATTCTTTCAAATATCCACGCCTCATAGTGTCCTTGAAAAAAATATTCTTAAAAAATCCACGCCTCATAGTGTCCTTGAAAAAATATTCTTTCAAATATCCACGCCTCATAGTGTCCTTGAAAAAAATATTCTTAAAAAATCTACGCCTCATAGTGTCCTTGAAAAAAATATTCTTTAAAAAATCCACGCCTGATATGCCCCTGAAAAAATATTCTGTAAAAAACCCACGCCTCATATAAGGTCTTTTAATCCAAGTCTTATAAGGTCTTTTAAAAAATCCACGCCTCATATAAGGTCTTTTAATCCAAGTCTTATAAGGTCTTTTAAAAAATCCACGCCTCATATTGTAAATTGAAAAATATTCTTTAAAAAATCCACGCCTCATAGTGTCCTTGAAAAAAATATTATTTAAAAAATCCCCGCCTCAATGTGTCCTTGAAAAAATATTCTTAAAAATCCAAGCCTCATAGTGTCCTTGAAAAGAAATATTCTTAAAAAATCCACGCCCCATAGTGTCCTTGAAAAAATATTCTTAAAAAAATCCACGCCTCATAGGGTTTTTTGAAAAAAAGAAATATTTTTCAAAAATTCACGCCTCATATGGCCCTTCAAAAATATTCTTTAAAAAAACCATGACTGATAGGGTCCTTGAAAAAATATTCTTTACAAATCCACATAAAAATATTTTTCAAAACGTCCACGCCTTCTAGCCTTGAAGAAACATATTTTTTTATGATCCTTGAAAAAAATATTTTTTTACAAAATTTAAGTATATTTTTATTCCCATTCAATATTTGTTAACTCAACAATGTCTAATCTTTTAATACTTTTCGAACTAAAAAACAATTCTCCCAGAAAGGACAATATAATTTTTTTCACTTTGATTTTTTTTTTTGTTTCTCATTTGGTTATTGTTATTTCAATATCCAACATCACTTGCAAACAATGCATTGTCCATTGCACGAATAAGTTCGGTGAGAAACATGGGAAGTGCAGCACAACAGCAATAAAAACAAGAAATAAGAACAATAGTTGCATAAATAAGACTACTTTTAAACTTGTTATCGTTGTTGTAGTTTGGTTAGCAAAACAACAACAAAAAACAAAATTACACAAACACACACTCTCACAAAATAACACATACCCATGCATGTAGATCCTGCAAGACATAACAATTTTAAAATTCGAAGGAAATGTGTTTAGTTGCATGTTTATCGTTATGTGTGGAGTATGAGAGTGTGTTTCTGTGTGTGTGTGTGCATGTGTAATTTCTGTTTCCTTTTCGATTGAGTATTGTTAGATTTGACATTTGTATATTGAAAGAAAAGTCTCTTCATTTGTGTGCGAGTGTGTGTTTGTGTGAAAATCCTACCACTTTGGGAACATACAAGAGATGTTAATATCTACAATATCCTGTGGTGGTAATGAAATTAAAAAAATATTAAAAATAATCAACATAGAATCTTTGGAGGACCATTGAGATGAAATCGGGCGAAATTAAATGTGCTATCTAGATAGATATTTGAACCAATTGAAAAAATCCCATACACATACCATTTTGAAATCAATGAAAATTTGCATGTTAAACGGGCAAACTTGGATTCTTTGGTGTACCACTTGTATGAAATCGAGTAATGTTATTTATGGGGACTGTATATAAACACATGGACCTTATTGAGCAATTTTAATACCCTCTGCAAAATTTCGTGTAAATCGAACAAACATAGGCCCTTCGGTGCACCATTTACATAAATTCGAACGAAAATATATATAAGACATACATCAGAATCTGAACCGATTTCCACAAACCTTATCAGACATATTTTTTTCCTCGATTGTATTCGCTATTTTGCTCAATCGGACAAATATTGGGAGTTTGGTGTATCATTCCCAAAAAAAAAAAATTGGAAGAAACTATATATGGGAGCTATATCTAGATCTGAACCGATTTTAACAAAACTTCAATCAATTAATCTGAAACTAATTCAGAACCCTGTGCAAAATGTTGTCCCAATCGGCCAAATATTGGGAGTTTGGTGGATCATTTACCTAAAATCGGACGAAACTATATATGGGAGCTATATCTAAATCTGAACCGATTTCAACAAAACTTCCCGGACATGAAACTGAACCTAATTCAGTACGCTGTGCAAAATGTTGTTTCGATCGGACAAAAATTCCGGGCTTGGTGTATCATTTACCTAAAATCGGACGAAACTATATACAGGAGCTATATCTAAATCTGAACCGATTTCAACAAAACTTCCCGGACATGAAACTGAACCTAATTCAGTACGATGTGCAAAATTTTGTTTAAATCGGACAAAACTTGGGAGTTTGGAGCACCATTTACCATTAAATCGGACGAAACTACATATGGGAGCTATATCTAAATCTGAATCGATTCCAACAAAATTTCGCATGCATCAGTTGGGGCCTAATCCAGAAGTCTGTGCAAAATTTTGTTTCGATCGGACAAAAATTGGAAGTTTGGTGGACCATTGACCTAAAACCGGACGAAACTATATATAGAAGCTATATCTAAATCTGAACCGATTCCAACAAAATTTCGCATACCTCAGTTGGGACCTAATTCAGTACTCTGTGCAAAATTTGGCTTCAATCGGACCAATATTGGGATTTTGGTGCACTATTTACATTAAATCGGACGAAACTATATATGGGAGCTTTATATAAATCTGAACCGATTTTCTCCATTGGGCCAAATAAGTGACATGTGCCAAATTTCATCCAAATCGGATCATAAATGCGACCTGTACTTTGTTCACAAAAATATATTACAGACGGACGGACATGCATAAATCGAATCAGAAAGTGATTCTATGCATATTTTGAAAAGGGACCATGGGTCTATCTCGATTATTTTTGCCTGTTACAAACATATGCACAAAGACATAATACCCTGTACCACAGCGTCGTGAAGGGTATACAAATATTCTTCTGAAAATCCTCGCCTTGTGTTAAATCTTGAAAA